TTTAGGGCTTAAACTGGATAAAGGTTCTGTATGTTAAAGACTAGAAGTAACCAAGTCTCAAACCTGTAGAAAACAGAGGAACAAAAAAAATTATCACAATTAATAAAAAACAGACCGAATTGGCGGAGCTGGGGGCACATCACCGTTCCTGAATGCTGCACTAATCCTTCTTTTCAACCTTTTCATCCTAAAAAATTCAAAATTAAGAGTTGTCAGAAGCTTTTGACAACGTCTGATCATGAAAGCAACCGCGAAAAAAAAGGATGACGCCAATGAAAGACAAAGAGAAAAAGTAAAAACGTATAAGTGTCAAAATAAAAAAATGATAAAAAGTTATTTACGAATTAGAATACAAGACTGCAAACAAAAAAAAATAATGAAATATTTTTAGCCAACAGTAAACGCATACTTGAAAATCTTGATTTTAAAAAAAAGGAGTAAACTGAATTGTAAAACCCAACTTTCCAGTAAAAGCATTTACGACACAATAAACTGAATGTCGAGCAAAAAAAAAAAATTACACTAGAAAAAGGCAAAGAAAAAAATTTCATTGATTAAAACTTAAGAATAATGCTGACATATCAATAACAAAAGTCTCACCGTGATATTCTCCTTACTAAAAGGCGCCATAATATAAAAAAAAGTGCAAAAACTGAAATTTTCACAAACAACAGATCGAAAATTCTGTTACAGCTACTGCTAAAATACCATCATAAAACTGTCGAAAGAATAAGGTAAACAAAAATTATTATCAAATTTAGTAAAATCTTTGTACATTAAGTTTACGCAAAACTGAAGGTCTGTGTGGTCAACGATAATGCTGAAAATACAATTCCGCATTTACAATAACAAACCAAATAGAAAAAAAAGAATATTTCAAAAATTTTAACCATTGGTTGGATAAAACTTAAAAAAAAACATATGCTCATCCTAAGCCAGTTGATTGGCAGACGAGTTTAAGAAATGAATTCGAAAAATATTAAAATTTGTATGCAACAAAAAAATGCAATCGTAGAAACGATAATTGAATGAAACAAAACATTTTTCAGCAATATTTAATCCTCATCAAAAAAAGACAAAATAAAAGAAAAAAATTTCATTGCCAACAAAAATATAAAATTATTTTGACAAAAAAATTATAAGACTTTACGAATAGGCAGTTGAAAATGACTGTTTAAAATTTGCAGAAAATGAACTGTTGTATAAACAACAAAACTGATTTACCTCCCTCCTCCCTCCTCCCCCCTCTCGCTCCCGTCATCAGCAATAACACAGAAAAACAAAAAGTAACCTGTTGATTACAACAATCTGACAAAACTTTTGAAAACTATCACATATTGTTGACACCGCTCTATCTCCTGGAACACCTGCAAACGACAACGAAACCCGCTTCCCGTACCGTTTGTCCTCCATGCATTAGCCATTTCAACTTTACATCGTCTCTCCAACATTTTGGCTTTTTTTTTTTTGAAATAGCCTAAAAAGGCGCCAAAATTTTGTGCCTAAAGCAAACACTGTCCATAAGCTTTAATTGGTAAGTACTGCTAAAGGCTTCAATAGCGGAAGGTTCCTGCCAGAACCAGTCAGTGAAAGTGTGGCTCCAAGTGGTTGGACGATCTGAGTTATTAAACGTCGAAAAAAAAAAAAAAAA